AAAATTGTTTTATTTCCGCTATGCATGTTAAGTAAATTCACAACACATCTTGCGGGGGCGTGTTAAGGGATATATATCCAACATCGATAAATGATGTTGACACATACCAACTTATAAAGATCTTGGGCTACTCTTCTTAATAAGGTTGACCTTTTAAGATGGAACCCCAAATCTTAACAATTCCTTACGTAATGACATAAACCCATGCGATCTGGATAGTAGAATTACATGTCTATTTCTTTGATACTGAGATACTCATGTTTGCACTCCATCTTCACCCACTTTTGATTTGCAACTTCAAAGTTAGCGCGCTCCATGATCTAAAATGTTAGACATAAAATAGAGAATAAAGATATTTAGTGAGTAAACTTCGATGCAAGTGTGTGCTCGTGCACATAACGATTCATTTTTAACTAGACATAAAATAGAGAATAAAGATATTCAGTGAGTAAACTTCGATGCAAGTGTGTTCTCGTGCTCAAACAATATTAATTCTAGCCACACAAGGACGTAATGGCTAAGCAATACCCCACAAAATCTGTAGTGTGGGAAATATCCAAGAACTCTGGCCATGCAAGGACCCCAGCCACATAAGCACCTCTAGCCAATCATTAATCATCAGATTTCAAGCTTCTCATAGCCCATTCTGGGGTACACACACACACACACACATATATATATATTTGGGTTTCTTACAATCATGCTATACGACATGATATTGCAACTAAATCATTACTCGTTAAATAAATATTTAATATGCATATTCTTGCACATAAAACATATATTATCATGATGTCAAACATGTGCAAACAGTATTCTACCTCAATTAAGCATAAGCTAAGCAAATTGAAACTTGCATACCTCATATGAGAGACACATAGACGAAATTTACTCTCTTTAAGAAGGTAACATGCAAGATCCAATATGAAGCTCAACTTTTTGCCCTCCTAAGAACAAGACAGCCTCTGCTTCAGATTTTCTTCCTTTGTTTTGCTTCTCTGTATGCACGATTTGTAGGTGTGGAAGCTGTATTTTTGTGGTACGAAATAAGGATGATCTTGGTCTGAAATAATGGTAAATGCTACGGCTTAATTTATAGAGGCATAAGGTGTCTAAGATGGTGACACCTCAATGTAGTAACTCATCACTACACCAGATTTTTTTTTTCTATTTTTTTCCATTTGTGAGTGACGAGTGTGTTTTGCTCACGAGTTATATATCATTTTAACTTGATTATTGACTAGATTTTATGAGTATTGAATGATTTTAATGTGTTTATCAGTGTTGTTCTATATGTTTGATGAGGTGGAGTTAGTACGGTAAAAGATGAGAAAACAAATGGCTTGGAATCAAAAGAGAAAAGGAGAAGAAAATGGTAAAATAGTCAATTTATAATACCAAAAGAAGAATTCTACCCAAGAAGGTAGTGTCGGCCGCCACCATTGTGGCACCTAGGCACCGCAAAACAGCAGAAGGAACAGAAGTGTGGCACCTTGGCGCCCCCATGGAGACTACCAGGCTAGAATTGTGGTATCGCGGCTCCTGAAGACAGCTATGGCATGATTTTTTGCCCATTTTGAAGCTCATAAAAACTTTACATCTGGCATCAATGCGGGGAGAAATATAAATACAAGAATAGAGGCACTTTTGGAGGGATTGAGAGACATTGAACACAATTTGGAGAATTAGAGAGCAAAATCGAAGGAGAAAAAAAAGAAATCAAAGGTTGGAAATCAAGATTTGGAACAAGAAGAGAAACTTGGTGCAAGATTCATTCTCTTTTCTACATCTCAATTCAAAACCATGTGATGTACTCAATGCAAATCTTTTATTTTTCTTCCATTATTATGAGTAGCTAAGTTTTTCATTAGGGTGAACAATGGAATCGAATTGAGACCCTTTATTTCTNAAAAGAAGAATTCTACCCAAGAAGGTAGTGTCGGCCGCCACCATTGTGGCACCTAGGCACCGCAAAACAGCAGAAGGAACAGAAGTGTGGCACCTTGGCGCCCCCATGGAGACTACCAGGCTAGAATTGTGGCATCGCGGCTCCTGAAGACAGCTATGGCATGATTTTTTGCCCATTTTGAAGCTCATAAAAACTTTACATCTGGCATCAATGCGGGGAGAAATATAAATACAAGAATAGAGGCACTTTTGGAGGGGATTGAGAGACATTGAACACAACTTGGAGAATTAGAGAGCAAAATCGAAGGAGAAAAAAAAGAAATCAAAGGTTGGAAATCAAGATTTGGAACAAGAAGAGAAACTTGGTGCAAGATTCATCCTCTTTTCTACATCTCAATTCAAAACCATGTGATGTACTCAATGCAAATCTTTTATTTTTCTTCCATTATTATGAATAGCTAAGTTTTTCATTAGGGTGAACAATGTAATCGAATTGAGACCCTTTATTTCTTTTATTCAAGATTCAAGTGCTTTTATCATATGTGTTGATTTTATTAATGTATTCAATGCTTTGAATTACTTGATCACTAATTTAATGAATTATGAATCTTTTACAAATCGATATGTGAGTTTTAGATTTAGATCAAATATTAAAATCCAGTAATTTAGTATAACGTGTAAAGATATATGTACTAATTATTGCGATCATTAAATGAATTCTTAGAACTAATATTTCGTTTTACTAATGTTGATTCACATAGAGATATGAGATTGGATTAGTTGAATAGATTCAATGAGAACTCGAGATGGGTAAATTGAACACAATAGAAGAATTCAATCAACAATACATTGGATTTAAGAATCTTGAATTAAGACTTAAAGGTGATCAATAGATGAAATTGTTATTCCTTAATATTCATTCCATATTTGAGTTTTAAATCGTTCTTTGTATGCATCCCGCTATTTTCAAGTAGTTAGATCAAGAAATCACAACAATCACAATTCTTTGTTTGTTTTTATCAAATAGTAGTTAAAAATATTAAATTAATATTTAAGTATAGTTCTTATGGGAACGATAATCCGGACTCAAAGGTCTACTATATTACTTCTTATGATATTGTATACTTGCGATAAAATATGCAACAAGTTTTTAGCACCGTTACTGAGGTACTATTTTTATTTAGTCTTAATTTATTTTTTTATTGACCATCCTTTGATTAGCTTATTTTCT